CTAAGTCAGGCCATTTAGGATTTTACAAGACCTACCATAGAATTCTTCAACTGTATTATTGGCCCAAAATGAAATTTGATATCGCTAACTATGTTCGAAGATGTACCATTTGTCAAGCGGCAAAGCCAGAACAGAAGCGTCCCGCAGGAATGATGGGTGAAAATCGCTCTGTATCGCAACCTTTTGAAATAATAGCAGCTGATGTGATTGGTCCACTTCCTAGGACTCCTAGGGGATTCAAGTATATTCTGGTCGTCGCTGACTTGTTTTCTAAATACACTTTGCTTTTTCCTCTTCGGTCTCTATCATCAAAGCTCATTGCTCAACACTTGGAAGAGAGAGTTTTCCTTATATACGGTTCACCACGTGCTCTTATTTCCGATAATGGACCAGAATTCATAGGAAAGGAAACAAGAAATCTGTGTGCCTCTTATGGAATCAAAATGTTTTTCAACGCTCGCAGACATGCGCAAGCTAATCCAACCGAGAGGTATAATCGTACAATAATAACTATGATTAGGTCTTATGTTGATGATTATCATCATAAGTGGGATGAATGCCTTCCTAAACTTGGTTTTGCCTTGCGGACTGCAAAGAGTGAGGTGACTGGATACACCCCTGCAAGTCTAGTGTTTGGAAGAGAGATAACCCGGATGGAGAATATTGACGGAAACTGCAATTCAGGAATTGGTCAAGAGGTCTCTCCTTACCGCTCTCACAATTCCAAGCTTAAGAAGATCTATGAAGATGTTGAAAAGCGTCTGGCTCTTGCTCACATCAGAAGCGCACGGCAATACAACCTCAGGAGAAGAAACATGGAATTCTATGAAGGAGATCATGTATGGAAGAGGAACTTCGTCCAGTCTAGCAAGGAGAAGAATGTGATCTCAAAATTTGCACCTGCTTTTGTTGGACCTTACAAAATTTCAAGAAAGGTGTCACCCCTCATTTACGAACTTGAAGACAATGTTGGTCGAATGGTTGGAAGATGGCACATTGAGGACTTGAAACCATACACATCGTCAAACGCGGAACTGATTCCAGACTAAGAAGATTTCTGAAGATCACAAGCACTTCAAGTGAATGGATTTTTTTCTTTTGAAGAAAGGGTGGAGTGTGACCATTTTATATTTTATAAAACTATTTTAAAAAAAATTTCACATTTCAGCTCTTCAATATTTTAGTTTAAAAGGAAGTGAATTTCCTAGCATCTATTGTCTACAGTTGGACTGTGTACTCGACCATCCTTATCTCTACATTCCATTCCTGAATTCCAAAAATTTCCTGTCTGCCAACTTGAACTAACCATTACAGAGCGTCACTTGGGAATTGACTACTGCTGAAGCAGGATTTAATGTGTTCTATGTTGAGTTAAATAATTTTTGTAACCTTTTGTTGGGATATTAAAACTCAAGAATACATGCCTATTTCTCAAGTGAAAATGAAATGTTAACTACCTGTAAATATGTGCAAATAAGGAAATTTTGTCTTTTTATGATTAATGTATTTAAGGAATTTTTATCTGTGAAAAACTTATCTTCAAAAGCCCATAGGGTGAGTACATTTGTCTATGCTTAATTTAATTTCATTTCAAACTGTATTACTATGAAGGAAACCTGATGAAAAAAAATCCATTCTCTTGTAAATATTGGGAAAAATGTATTGTGTTTTAAATAATCAATTATTATCCAGAAAGTTATACCATTCAACTCAGGATTTCACATGTGTTATCTCAAAACTTTTCCTGCAAGTCTTATGTAACTAAATATTGAATCTTATGGTAATTTTTTGAATATTTTATCCTCTTATTACAGTTAATAATTGTTCTGATAAATTAATTGTTTCACCTTCTTTAATTTGTAAATGTATTGACATGTTAGTTTTGTAGTAAAGAAATAATATCTTATTTACAATCGTTTACCGTTGCAGTAACGGTAATGCTAATAATTTATGAAAATTAAAGTTACATGTTAAATTTGTTCCGTTTTGTGATTAATCAATTATTATTATGTGAATCTCACTGTTTAACCTTGCAAATATAATTTTTATTTCATATACAAAGATTATTATTAATGTTGATTTATGAGTACAATAATTGAGATATTTTACTACAGTAGTATATGATTGCTGAAGGAAAGGTACTTATTGAATTTGTCATATTAACTCTTTTAATTTGTTCTACTTACAAATAATTAATATTATTAATGATGTTGCAATTTAATGTTTGATGAATTACCAAGATAAATTTATATTGTTTCTGTTCCATACACATTGTATATGTAAATGAATATTTCAGGATTCACAGAACTATACTTTTATGACACTGTTTAATGCTAGGTATACTACATTTTCAGGCTTTTTTGAGTATACCCTGTTGAGATTATCACTTATTGAGGAAACTTCTAGAAGGTTGTAATTTGAGACCAACAATAATCTACCTGGACCTTAGGATATTGATAACTTGTGGTGACTACGCTTCAACACTTAAGGTCAGACACTTATGTTTTTCCAATTTTCTTGTGCTGTGATTCTCTGGGACAGTTTTTCCAGCTGAGTAACCGATCATCGAACCTATGAACTGTGTCGTGCTACTGCACAGTTATTTAATGGCTTTAAGCCTAAGTAATTCTTAACTTTTATTCTAAACTTGTTCTATATTGGTGTATTGTGTATATATAATAATTATTTGTTCTCTTATCTACTTAAAACAAAAAAAGGGTTTCTGATTTAAATATATAGTAGAAGGACGTTTGAAATATTTTGTAAATTAGGTATTTACTTGGTATTGTATTATAATTGTTGTATTCTGAAGCAAGTCATAAGCTTAGGGGTTTGGAAATATTTTTGAGTAACAAAATACTTTGTAACTTGTATGAGCTCTGAATTAATGGTTCACATTTATAAAAAAATTGTGTTTTGTGATTTATTGATTGAGTAAATTGATATGTATTCGAATTTAAAAGGGGGTTTCTTGTTTTCACCTTAATCTTTAAAAAAAAAACAAGTGGCGCTTTTTCCTGACCTAGTCTTAGAAATTCAACCCCTAACCCAACCCACTCACCCACTGAGTATAGCTGAGGTATAAATATAATTTTGGAAGGTAACAAACTCGCTCAATTTCGCTCCAAATCCGACTGAATTCACATCACTAATAATCAGCGGAAAACAGGCTTTATTCTGACATCTGTCTCTAAGCTTTCTCTTTTGCCTGTCTCCAGATGTTATGAGAAAAAAAATCAATGTTTACGTTTCGTTGCCATCGACGGTGTCACTAGTTGTTGTTGTTTACAATTGGTTTGTTATCGTTCACTAGTGGTTTGTTATTTAATTTTATGTTGTGAAAATGGATAGTAGCGATATTAGAGTTGCTTTAGATGAAGATTTTAGTGATGCAGACTCTGTTGTAAGTGACATTGAAGTGTCTGATGATGTTTCATTAAACCTACTTGATTTTTCGTCTGGAAGTGGTGAAATCTAGTGATTTTGCAACTGTTCTTGTATTATATTATATATTTTGTCATATAGCTAACCTAAAAATTAAGCTAAGCCTACTAAAATGTGTGTTATCTTTTTTGTTATAATATTTATAAATAAATGGCTATCTCAGATTTTTCATATGGTTAAATTTATTTCTAAAACAAGGGGCACGAACATTTAATTTTTTTTCTTTTTTTTTTTTTCTCAAAGCATCTTTTACTCATCAAATATGCATAAAACCCAAACATCTATGCTGCATTGTGATATAAGTGTATTTAGCTTCACAAAAATATATAACATGGTATAGCTCATCAGAAAAATATATTTTTTATATCATTTTTTTAACATAATGCTGCGTAACGCCCAAAAATCACCTGACACTACAGAAAAAATGACAGACACCAGGAGGGTTAAAAGATACAAAGGTACAAAGATTTAAATGACAAAAAACTTTCCAAATTCGTTGAAAACATAGGGTGAGTTATAATCACTCAACAGAACCCCATAGCAATGTAAATGACCATTGGTATATTTCGGTTACTTTGTACTAACAATTAGTTTTTACTAAGTGAAATATTTTAAAATACGATAGCAATGTTTATGCCAAATCAACTAAATACGCTATTAGGCTAAAATCATATTAGTGGTCATATAAGGAAATACTTATTCTGTTGCTTAACTTATTTATCCTGGAGAATTTCCCGTCCTCCCTCAACGACTCGCGGGTCAGATCACATGTTTCAAGCGACCCTATTATCTTCTACCTACCAGACCCCCGGGTCAGTTTGAATGACCCAAATCTACCCTCTGACCGCGGATCAGTCTGTATGCAGCTCTCCTGCCTAGCGTCCTAGGACAAAAAATAAATAAATAAAAATTCCTGTAGTTAAAAGGTACAGTAGACTCCCTCTTATCCGGACTCCTCGGGACCGAGGCCAGTCAGGATAGTGGGTTTTCTAGTTAAACCGACGTCCCCAAAAAACTTGTAAAAAACAGACCGTTTAAATGTGTATTTGACTTAAATTTATGAGAGCATTGTTAAGACACGTGACCACTGGTCTCAAATCTTTCCCACGAGAACGGTCGTTTCAGTACCGCCCGCTTCCTGCCGATCTAGTCCGGTTTAACCGATATGCTGATAAAAATTGGCCGGTTAAAGAGATGTGATTTCTGCTGAGTGTAGTCCGGTTAAAAGGTGTCCGGATAAGAGGGATTCTACTGTAGGTATGTCAGATAAATGTTAAGGTATATGTAGGCCTAACGTAATTGTAGTCTAGTTTTTTGTTTTTGTTGATTTTATGCAATCACTGCAACTTTATGTATCATTCCAACAAATTTATCATCAACCAGTCAACCTGGATAAAATCTATTAAGTGCAGCACTTCTCTGACACAAAACTTTAATATGACCTTTTTCTAAATGATGGAGAAAACAATCATCATCTGTGTTAGCTTAGAATGACTAATAAGAGATTAAGACAGTTTTTATTGAAATTATATGCTAATGGATTGCAACACTTGTAGGTTGTAGAGTTCCTAGTACAAGTGCAGAGGCTGGAAGAGCTCAAGTTTTCTGGTGACAGAGCCGAGCAAGCACTGGTGGCCAACGAGTACAAGGATACAGAAACTCTGGAGTATCTTCGTACGCAGTCACAGCTGCTAGACCTGGGCTTCTCCGAGGACCAGGTATGGGTGGAGACAGTTGACTAGTTTTTTATGTCAATAATCCGGATTTGTCTCTTGCAAGAAATAACAGTTTGAATGGTTACTTGTCAATCACAGGCCCAAAACAGTATACAATGCATATACGCTAGAATTAGGAAATACAATTTTAAGAATGTTCATTATATTTTTCGTGAATTTATATTTTTCGAGGTTATGTAACATTTGTTAATTTAGAAGTATCAGTTGACCATGATTGATCCACCTCCTGGTTTATTATGGCTCTACTACTGTGCTTGGGGGAGCAAGCTGGTTAGAGCGCAGGACTTCAGTCCCTGAGGTCCCAGGTTCAAATTCGGCCTAATCAGCAATGGATTTTATCTAAGTGATAATGCCGCAACCCCTGGTCTAGCCTGGAGTAAAGTGAAAAACAATCCCAGGCTCGTGCCTAGCGTCGTAGAACAAAAAAAACTACTCTCTTTGCTTAAACACAAAAATTGTTTTGAATTCATCTCTCTTTTAGACCCTTTACTGTACCTGCAATAGAAAATATACAGTTTAAAGAAGTTTTTACTCAATTAGTGTGTGCTGGCCCTTTTTAAAGGTAGTTTTGATAATCCGGATATTTTGATAATGCCATCAAATAGTTCTGTCATCAAAATTCTAACCCTCACATAGTAATCAATTATACTAGTGCTGAAATATATCCAGTTAATGATACTGAGGCATTTTCAAACATTTTAGTAAAATAACAGGTACAAGGTGTTTGTAGGCCCTTTTGAATCTATTTATTTGGCTCACCTGATTTTAATCCATCAGTAGAATATGCCACAGAACCTTTTAAAAGTATCAAGTTTTTCTATGACTTTTTTTATCAAAGCTGGCTGAAGGAGTGTGATTCTGGTATCCCTTTGATCTCAGCAATGTTTCCTACCTACTAGTTCCATATTAACCACCTAACTTCACCCCAATGTTACAGATGAATTATAGATTAAACATGGTACATTACTAACCCCTACAATTCACCCAAATGTTGCAGATTATATAGCTCAAGTTTTCCCGAGACCTAAAATTACTGTTTCATTTTCCTAACTGTTTGTTAACATACCTGTTATACAATATACTTCTGTGTTGTTGCAGGTGATGAAAGCTATAAAGGAGTGTGGTACTGACCGAGACAAAGCACTTGATTGGCTGATCTCATAGCATAGGTCGGAGATCATCAACTACAATACACTGCTTAGCCTTGTACTTCATTCACCCCGTCTTTTTAGCCTAAGCATACGGAAACATTATTTAAAGTATTTATTTTTCAATTAAGTAATTTTTATTATGTGTGATTTATTTATTTTTGAAATAAACACAAGCGTTGTTAATTTGTCCTTCGTCTTAATCTCCTTACTTATTTTAGGTTTTTGTGTGATTTGTGTTTTGTTAAGTTTATGCAAAACATTTATAATTTTAATATAGGAGTGAGGGAAAACTCCCAGTATCATGTTCACCCTCCCCTCTGAAATTCTCAAAAAATTAAGTTTTTAACAATAACTAACTGAGGCTTTTTAACCTGCTAAATAAATCTGTGTTGATTTCTGATGTCTGACAATGCGTGGCCTATGTAATAACTATCACAATTGCTGCAATTGATTTGGTAAACACCTGTCTTATCGTAGTTTGATGTAGATATGAGAGGACGTTCCTTTAACTTAGAGCCAAGTTTGTTAACAGATTTAAATGCTACTGTGATGTTGTTCTTGGCCATGATATTTTTAAACTTGTAACTTAGATGAGTTCCAAAGTCAGCCAATAAAAACGTTTTAGGCTCTTTTGTTTTGTTTTTATCTTTTATCTGGACTTATTACGGGAGGACAACTTTCCGTTACGACTCAAAGTAGCGTAAAATCCGTAGTCACTACTTCTCCCCTCTCTAAAATCTTACATGAATTCCCTGAAATTACTCGCCCTCCAGGATTGCCTCGAGAAGTGAAGCACCAGACAGTACATCATATACACACGACTCCAGGACCTCCTGTATTCTGCCGACCACGACGACTGGCCCCTGAAAAGCTCAGCATTGCAAAGAGTGAACTTTCTGACATGGTAAAATGTGGTACAGCACGTCCATCAGACAGTCCGTGGGCTTCACCCCTGCATCTGGCGCCGAAAGGAGAAAATGGATGAGAACCGTGTGGAGTCTACCGTGCATTGAATGCACGCACCACTCCTGACAGGTATCCTGTTAAGACACATTCATGATTTTTCAAATAATCTTTCAGGCTGTAACGTATTTTCTGTCATAGATCTAGTAAAAGCATACCAACAAATCCCTGTACACCCAGATGACATATGCAAAACTGCTATCACAACTCCATTCGGCCTTTTCGAGTTTCCATTCATGACTTTTGGGCTACGTAATGCTGGCCAAACATTCCAGCGTTTCATAGATGAAGTAACCCAAAACCTAGATTTTACGTTCAGCTACATTGATGATATTTTAGTGTTTTCTGAATCAATTGAAGAGCATGAGCAATATCTTAGGACTTTGTTCAAAAGACTCCATTCCTATGGTGTTATTGTAAACTTATCCAAGTGTGTTTTTGCAATGCCTGAAGTGACGTTTTTAGGGTACAAAGTTTCAGCATCAGGTGTCTACCCTCCACAAGACCGAATATCTGCCCTTCAGGAGTACCAACTACCTAAGACAATGCGTGGTCTTCGACGGTTCCTAGGTATGATCAATTTCTATAGTAGATTCTTACCTAAAGCCGCAGAACTCCAAGCACCTTTACACTCTCTACTTGGTGGTGCAAATAGCAAAGGATCACTTCCTGTGCCTTGGACCCCAGAGACTGAGAAAGCGTTTCAAGCTTTCAAGTCTAGTTTGTCATCAGTGACACTCCTATTTCATCCGAAACATGACGCCCCTCTTGGACTGTTTACAGACGCCTCTGACGTTATAGTGTAGGAGCCTGCCTTCAACAATTTGTTGAAAATTCCTGGCAGCCACTTGGATTCTTCTCTAAGAAACTTTCACCAAAGCAAAGCTCTTGGCCGGCGTACTACCGTGAACTTCTTGCTGTGTATGAAGCAGTACAGCATTTTCGTCATTTTTTGGAAACCACGGCATTTACCATTTTTATGGATCATAAGCCACTCATCTTTGCTTTTCATCAACGTCGTGAGAAACTTCCACCTGTTCAACTACGTCAGCTTTCATTCATTTCCGAGTTTTCTACAGACATAAAACACATCAGAGGTTCAGAAAACATTGTTGCCGATGCTTTATCACGTGTAGAGGCTATTTCATGTTCATTGGATCCTGAGTCAATCGCCAAAGCACAAAGCTCAGATGACGAACTCATCAACCTCATAAACAATAACAATTGATCTCTCAAAATACAGAAGATACAAATCCCTGGAACAAACTCATTCATTTTTTGTGACACTTCAACAGGGACCCAAAGACCTTATATTCCAGTTGAACTACGGAAGAGGGTATTTCATTCGCTACATGACCTCAGCCACCCAGGCATTAAAGCTACTGCAAAGCTTGTAGCAGATCGATTTGTCTGGCCAAGTATTCAAAAAGATTGTCGTAACTGGGCTCATACTTGTGAGCGATGCCAACGTTGCAAGGTAACGCGACATGTTCATGCTCCTCTAGGAACATTTTCTTTACCATCATCACGTTTTGAGCACATCCATGTTGACATAATTGGGCCTTTACCACCAGCAGGACCATACAAATACTGTCTTACAGCAATAGACCGTTACACTAGGTGGCCTGAGGTTCATCCTTTAAAGGGGATTACTGCAGAAGAAGTCGCCGAAGGTCTAGTATCGTGCTGGTTTTCTCGTTATGGTGCTCCTTCAAGAATAACTACTGATCAAGGCCGCCAATTCGAATCATCCCTTTTCAAGTCCCTTGGAAAAACTTTCGGCTCTGAAAGAATCAGGACTTGCAGTTACCATCCCTGGGCAAATGGATTGGTGGAGGGATTCCATCGTCATCTCAAAGCTTCACTGATGTGTCATCACGATTCATCCTGGCTGGAAGCTCTTCCGATTGTCCTCCTAGGTATAAGAAGTGCGTACCGTACCGCGAGGATCTTCAAGCATCAACGGCAGAAATCGTTTTCGGACAACAGTTGAGACTTCCAGGAGAATTGTTTGATCTCCCTGTTGACGGACACAGGCATGAAGATCCTACTGATTATGTTGTACGACTCCGTCAACACATGTCTTCAATCAGACCTGTCCAAGCTTCACGCCACGTCAAACCCAAGACTTTTATATTTCAGGATCTTAGAAAGTGCACCGATGTTTTCCTAAGAGATGACTCTGTGAAACGTGCTCTACAGCCTCCCTACAACGGACCATATCCTGTAATTTCTCGTGATGAAAAATCCTTAGTAATATCACAGAATGGCAAACAAGTGCGAGTGAGCTTAGACAGGGTGAAGCCTGCATATGTGTTACCCGAAAAGTGTAATCATCCAACAATCAAAGAGCCTCAAAATATACAACCTTCAAACACATCCCTCAACCCTCCAAACCCGGCATCATTCAGAAGCTATACAACTCGGTATGGACGAAATGTTAAGCTCAAGCTTCCTGGACTTCCAGTCTCTGCGGGGGGCTGATGTGGCCTCAACTTAGTCACAGCTGTGTTGCCTTTAGTCTATCCTTTATTTTAATACTAGCTGAACCCGGCAGACATTCTCTTGCCTTTGACTATTTATAATTTAAGTACCGTAACGTTTAATTGTCTTATTGTATATGAAGTGATTATAACTAAATAATTAAAATACGTACGACAACTAATGAAACACATATAGTACAAAGGATAATCGATTCTTTATTATTGCTCTTATATTAATTAGTGGGTGGACAATATTTTTGGTCTTTCTATTCGGCTCAATCACGTCCTGGTTGAAGTTCGTTCACTACGCTAACTCGCCTCCAGGTTGAAGTTCATTCGCTATGCTCACTCACCTTTTGGTTGCAAATTAGCTGTTGTCATAAATGTAAAAGAAATAATAGTGCTGCACCCTGTTGGTAATCCTTGTAACTTTAATGCTATTGAACATCATAGAACAGAACCAACTTGTTCAATTGAAACAGCTGTTAAGATTCATTATTTCCATTTCTCATAAGGTTAACATGGGAAACTCCAGAGCCACTGGGGCGGACGGAGCCGATTGGACGGATCACGAAATTGATGGTGTATAAACCTATTCCATGAAATTCTACACGTATGTACCAAGTTTCGTGGCAATCGGTTCAGCGGTGTCTGAGTTTATCACTGCCAAACATATATATTTATATACAAACAAGCTAACCTGAAGGAAAGTGAGCGCAGCGAACGAGCTCCAACCTAAAGGTGAGTGAGCGTAGCGAACGAACTTCAAAAAGAACCGAAATTTCTTATACCATGTCCTCACTCATAACTGCTATAAGCATTTGATACTTATATGCCAACCCCGTACGAAGGACGGGTACTCTGCTAGTTAATTCATACAGATTAAACATCGCTATAAGCCTTTTTTGAAAATTGGAGTTATTTGTGAGTATTTAAGTTTGTCTGGGAAAATTCTATTTGTTAAACACTGATTTATGATAATAGATAAGGGTTCAAAAATTAAATTTACAGCAGCTTTAATTATTAATTTGATCAGTACTTCATCCCAACCCACAGAAGTTTTCTTTTTTAGGGAAAGAATAATTTTTCCACTTCGCCCTTACTAATCTGCTGCAGATTACACAACAAAATCATCTCTACAATAGTCTCCAATAATTTAGTATATGTTTTATTCTTATCGAGAATAAGTAAACTGTTGTAGTTTGCTTGTTTGTGAACATATTTTGATCAAATTTGGAAAATGTATTCATTTCATACTAAACTATTAACATTTTACAAAAAAAAACCTTTTTTACCCTCCCTGTTGCTGCAAACCTAAGTACTCGTTAAACTAATGTTACATAAATAGGTAATAAATGTGATCTTTTTAAAGAGACATTTTAGTGTAAGTCCAATCAGGCAAATGGAAATTCGCTTAGTCTGCAGGTTTGCTGTTACAGGGGTATATTATTTTGTTCAACCAACATAGTTACTTGGCAAAGGCTAATGTTAATATGGCTCAGCTTTAAAAAAGACAACACTGTAGTGATATACTATTTTTAAATGCAGTCTGTTTATTTTGATATTTTTGCTGTGTCAGTAATGCATGTTTATTTAGGCATGGGTTTTAATGCGGACACGATGGGTTGCTGAATCACGAAGTGTTCCAAAAATGGGATGAGTTTGCTTAAAACAGTAACTATCATTTTGATGGGTTTACCTAGTTTGTTTCATTACATACTGTATTACATAATTTCA